TAAATAAATAAATAAATAAATAAATAAATAAATAAATAAATAAATAAATAAATAAATAAATAAATAAATAAATAAATAAATAAATAAATAATCTTTATTCAAAACAAATATTTTCTCATTGTTTTTTAATTGCAGAGAAAAGGGAAAAAAAACTTTGGCAGATTCAAAGTCTAATATATAATGGGTGATACCATTTGAACAAAAATGCAAAATATGATAAAGATATATATAAAAGAAAAAAAACCGAGCAGTAGTTTAATTGTCATGGCACCACAGAATTTAAATTGCTTTACTATATTTAAAGGACTAGTTTCTAGGTAGCTTTCTTTGTAGGAAGGGGGGGGACAAAAAAAAGGAGGCTTGCTTACACCTTTTTTAATTATAAAACATAAATTGCTAAAAATCACAAAAGAGAAAGACTTGAAATGATCAAAGTCTCAGTCATTACCATAGTTTAAAGTATGAAATGTTTTTTTTTTTGTGGGGTGGGTGAGGAACCATTAGTGTTAAGCCGGTGGTGGCCATATAGGCTTTAAAAGGAACTCACTCTTTTTCCAATTAATTTCATTACAGAAATGACTTCCTTCAGACGGTGAGAATCTTTGAATAATGTATTGCAGCCGCGTCTAATAAGCACAACCATTTTTCTCCTGACAAGTACAATAGCCGTTTCCCAGTCTTTATGTGAATCTATCAACACAAAACTTGTTCTTTGTGGTGTGTACACCACAATTTTTTTTTTAGAAAAGTAAAATACAGTTATTTACTTCATCCTGACAAGAGGAAAAACTGCAGTCTGTAAAACCGATGCTGCAAATCCCTTCTGCACTGTTATTTTATTTTATCTTTTATTTTAGGTGATCAAGGTTATGACCCAAAACATGGATATCTAGAAGAAGGTAAAAGACAACCAGCCATTTCTTGTTATTTTTGGAAATAAGATATAAAGATTATCCAGATATGTGTAATGAAGGAAAACCTCAAAGAGTATGTTTTTATGTGATTTTCATCATTAAAGGGACACCGAAAAATTTTGCATTTTTGTTTTGACTTTTTTTTAATGGATATTTCTATCTAAATTGAAAGCCGTAGAGTAGCTTTAAGGCAAACATCTGCAAAAAAGATGTAACATTTTCAAAAGATTCCCCTCACCACTAATGTATTTTGCTTTGCTAAATTAGACTGAATCACAGCATAGATTATATTCCATTCTCAGATATTCAGAGACTGACAAATATGTACAAGCCACTTGAAGCATTGATAAGATTTCAACGTCTTGGGATGAACAGTATATGGATAACAAGTCACTGCTTGTTACTGTTTTCCAGAGGTGAGTTCCTACCAGTTCGCACCTATTCGGTAGANCCCTGAGTCCCCTCAGGGAAAAGGGCGGCCTATAAATGCTCAATAAATGAAAATGAAATGAAAATGAAGGAGTCTGCAAACAGAAAAGTTACTAAAATGACATCATTATTAACATCAAAAGTATACATAGTATTAAGTAATCACTAAGACATCCATTTACATTCATATTAAGGAAGTGAAACAAAATTACGTACAAATACTTTTTGGTCTATATTTTGTACATTCAAAACGTTATAAAAACTCATGTAAATTATGATTTACTAAAAAAAAAAAGGCTTTGTTTATGCAAATATCAGTATGGTCATTGTAATTATTTAGAAACCCACAAAATGGGAAACATACCTTTTCTGGATCAAGAGTTGTTATAACCCATACGCAGTGTGCATTGTCTTCATATTGAACAGGATAGTTGGGTGATGTGATAATACCACTCGGACCATGGAGGTTAGAACCACACGTTCTAGCTAAAATATGGGAAGCATGAAATAGAAGAGATTTTAGAAATGTCCATTTATTTAAAGAGAAAATAGCAGGACACTGAAAGTTTCCTGAAATGGGAACAGCCATTACATTTCTTTAAAATTTATAAATGTGCTATGGAACTTCCAGTTGCACTAGAACTCTGGATAGCAGTCTACAAAGAATGTTTAAAAAGGCTTTATTTTCATAAAGAAAGAACAGTGTTTATGTCTTTATTTTACTGAATGTGGCCAATCACAACTACATTTCTCTGCAATTATGCTCCATTTTATGCTTTGCAATTATGCTACACTTTCTGTGCAATTATGCCACATTGTGCTAATGTAATATGTAATGAAACAATTCTCAAAAAAAATTACAATCCTTTAGTATATACTTTAATGGCTGGCAACAATGAGGCAGTGATGAGCTACAAGGCTAAATAGTCATGGTCTACTTTGTTCTGCTCAAGAACCGTCTTTTTTGGACTCAGAAAAGGACCAATCAGAGATCAGCTTGCCAACTTCAAATACAACAGCCCAGCCAATCCAATTCAGTTGCCTATAAACTATGAGAGGGACATCACAAAGCTGACTTTCCTCTGAAAGAAACAGGCATAAACTATCAGAACTAGAGAAAATTCTGCTACACGTAGCGTTTCTTCAAAATAGTAAAGCTAGAAAAGAATAGAAGAAGCCAGAGAAAATAAATCAAACTTATTCAGTATGAAAGCTCACCACTGCTTCATTACAATTCTCACTTAGAAATCTCGGAAACATTAGAATAAAATTTAAAATTAAAATAAGCAATGTACAGTATATTTCAAAAGTTTTTGTCAATGTTAATTTAGACCCCAAGCATTTAACATAAATTGAGGAACTGTTTATTTATGCAGTGAAATTACTATAGAGCCAGGGTGAATTTTATCAAGAAATGTACTGAAGATATTACTTTTATAAATGTTCTATTTTAAATAATTCTAATAATTGAGTGGTTCATCTAATTGGAATCCATTTAAACATGAAGGAATCATAATACAGATAATGAAAATCTGAGGGATTAAAATGTGAGTGGATTCAGTAATATAAATGGAACTATATTCATATCATTAAAGTCATACATTTTTTAAACTGAAAGTAAAATAATGGTATTCCTAATACAACAGTATGATGAATAGTATTTACATGATACAAAATTATTGTGTAAATTATTTAATTATCACAATAAAATTAAATATTTGTTTATCATAAGAACTAGTTGTCACGAAATTCATTCCTTATAGTGATAGTAATAAAGTAACACAGTAACAATGTTGTGTGTGTGNGCCCTGAGTCCCGCTGAGAATAGGGCGGCATATAAATAAAATGAAACCTGAAACCTGAAATCATTCTCATAAAGCTCTCAACCAGCCTAAATATGTAGCTACCCACAAAATATAATACAAAAATGATACGTATGTGGCAATATAATTTATTAAAATTACAGGTAAGCTATCTCTTTTTAACAAATATGGAAAGTTACCGTAGTTGAGCTAAATCAGTGTAACAAATTCTGTTGAATGAGGATCCCAAGTAGGCTTGAGAATCTTATCTCAGTATATAGGTTGAACTAGAACAAATTTATGATGTAGGATTCTATTTACTCCCATTCTCCTTCTCTTCTATCCTCTTTTCACCGTTCTTTCAATAAATCTTAAAACTGAAGTGGACTGATATGGATTTGTTCTTGTTTGTTGTATCTTTAAGGGATCATCTCTACCGGCCTACACAGTTCAGAATAGTTATTCTGTTCGTGTGTAAGGCTAAGTGGGGAGGGAAACACCATGTATTTCACATATAATCAGATTATGTAACAAATGTTTGCTGGTATGGGGAATTATTTTATATAATAATAAAAATAATAATGAATATAATATGTTCAAGTGCAGGCCGTCCTCATTTGCTGGTGGCAATTGGAACTGGGGGCTCAATTGCTAAGCAACGTGGTTCTAAAACACAATGTCAGGTTACCATGCCAACTTACAATCGCAGGCCTGGCAAGGCCTGGATTGACTTTAAACAGCTGTCCTTTAAAATCTGGCTCGCGTCAGGGATTGAATCGTTAACAGAACGCTGCACATGGCTGGTAATACACAAAGAGATCAAGAAACAACCAAGTGAATCACATTCGCTTTTGCAGTCCTTAAATAAAGATAATCCAGCAAGGTGGTCAAGGCAGAATTTGATACCATGGCCAGTTTGAAAATGTGCCAAACCAATCTGCTTCTATAGCCCTTGGAGCTTAATAACCCATCAATCATTATGGATAGGTTGAGAATGGGGCTAGAAGAATTACTATTATGACATCAGGAAGATTATTCATGCCAGATTTGCAACTGCTGACTTTTCTTTTTTGGACATTTGAATTAGTTCATTTTCTTCTGAAGAGCAAGGAAGAGGCACTCAAGAAGCTTTCCTTGAAGTGTTTTGTTATGAAACAAATTTCAGGCATTTAGGTAAAAAGAAAATAAATACACTGTATTATACAATACAGAGTCTATAGTACATGAGAGTTGCAAAGTTATCCGTTCAGTTTAAAGCAGTGTTTCTCAACCTTGGCAACTTGAAGATGTCCGGACTTCAACTCCCAGATGTCCGGATTTCAACTCCCAATTCTGGGAGTTGAAGTCCGGACATCTTCAAGTTGCCAAGGTTGAGAAACACTGGTTTAAAGCATCTGTTTAAATACTGGTTTTGCTTGGAAAGGTTTTCAAATATTTTTAAATAGAAAGGACTTCTTAGATTTGCTGAAAATACAATAACAGAGGTTTGTTTTGTTTTATCTTCCTTAAGCTTTTTTGGCAAATTGTTTTTCCCCCCCAGTAATCTCGTTTTCAGGTAAATAACAGCATTTGTCTTTCGTTTTTATTCTCCTTCTGTCTATCTCCAATGTGTTTAATGTATTCACTATTATATACCGAATTAAAATTGGGGGGAAAAACTTGCTGCAAAAAAATATTTCCTATGAATAAGACAGGAATTACTGCCATTAGATTCCCCCGTCCCTCTGTTTTTCATTTATTTCTGTAATTAGACTACTGAAAAGACAGTAGCAATTCCCTCCACTCTTTCCAAATTAATAGTACTTCTAAATATAATTCTGGATTATTTTAAAAGAAGAAAATACATTTTAAAGTAGTGCTGAAATGAGAAACTAGGCAGGACATGTGCTTTAATTACTTTCTAACTATAGTAAATGTTCATAACAAATTTTGCAATAAGATTGCTTTAGATCAAAACTATTGATAATTACATTTGCAAAACTATTAGTGAAAATAAAGGGGAAAAAACTAATTAAGAATTAGCATACCTTATGCGAGACGAAGAAAATATGTAACTAAGTGCATCCCACACTAAATCTGTCTTTTCAGAAATTACTTCAAATGTTAGCCCTTCCCTTCTTTTGCTAATTACGTATATAAAAATAAAGATGCTAATTAATCTCTTTCTTTTGCAATGGCACTATAGGGATCTTAATACCTTGAATACGGAATGATTATTTCTTTTTGTCTTGTGTCCTGTTGGTTGATGGACAATTCAAATGGCAACATCATTCTTGATGATAAAGTGATTAAAACGGTGTTTGTTTTTTGTCAAAACAACAAGACAATAACATCATGAGGGACATTGTGATATTTCATCGTAAGTGACACTGTCAGCTTCCTAATCAATAAATGATGTGCCTGACTATCTTCAATTGCTCAGCAATAAGCGTGGAAGATTAACCCAGAAGAAATACATGTTTGCATCAAAATTGCATTTACGCCAGAAGATTGCAAGATAATAATCATCTATTTTATGAAAATGTTTATTACTTTGTTTTCAAAATCGAAAGTAAAGCAGGGGGATGGTGGGGAGGAGGAGGAGAAAAAGGAGAAAAAGAAGGAGGAGGAGAAAGAGGAAAAAAGAGGCGGAGAAGAAGAATCACAACCTCCCAAAACAAGATAGCTTTCCTTTGTAAACAGCAGGCACTTGATAAGATGTAGAGCGTCCAATAACCTTCTACTCTTCCATGAAAAGTACATTTACTTTTGTTGCTATCACTAATTTAACAACAGCAAAAAAAAGAGAGATAGAAATAATATAACTGACAAAATCTGCACAGTTTGTTTAAGACTATGATTCTATCATTAACCAGATTTACAAAGAATTAATAGTCTACATGAGTTTTCAGATAAGTGGGCTTGAAGAATGACCACAATCACATACAGAAAGCTTCATTTCTAGCATTGGTTGAACTGGCTTAACTTCAACCTGAATCAGTGGAGAGCTTTGGTGAGTCAATGTATTCCAGTGTTAAAAGAAGTGTTTCTTAACCAGAGTTCATTGGATGTAATATTTTAATAATCTACTAGCAACTAGTAGGGTGGGAATGTTAAAGGGGGGAATTCGGGCAAGACTCTATTCACAAAAGAATTGTTATTATGTAACAAAATAAATAAAACACTTAAAAAAATCTAATATAATGATTCATAGTTCATTAAGATAATACAGTATAGGGGGGGGGGAGTAAAGAACTAAAGGCCAGATAAGAACATACATAAATTTAGTCCCTGATTTTGTGGCCCTAAAGCTTAGGTGAAGGCTCTTTCATAGGGAATGGATTATGACAGAGAAGACTGCAGAGCAGTGTTGGGTTTCAAAAAATTTTGGATCCTCTTCTGTAGGTGTGGCCTGCTTTNTGATAAATAGGGTTTTGGAACATAGTTTAAGGCATATAATTCAAAATTTGATGGATGTGAAGTATAGTTTTGATTAAGGCTCAATTCAGCTCTGCTAAACTTATAGAATTCCCAATAGAAGGTCAAGAATCATTTCTACAGTATAGTGAAAATATCCAAGAACGAACAAATTGATTTAATGTTGTTATATCTATAAACACAACATTTTTTTGGGGGGGTAGGTTATGACTTTCTGGAAAATCTGATTATACAATACATCATGTGTCTCAAAATTATGTATAAAAGTTTCAACACACCAAAACTTACATTAAATATATTGGATTCTGACCTTGATTTTATTCCAAGAAACAAATCATAATCAAGCTATATATCTTTCAATCTCTACTAAGATTATTTTTAACTTACAATATATAAGTCCTCTAGAACTAATTTGAATATACTCTCTTATTTTTCAACATTGTTTCCAAGTCACTCTTCATGGTTAATATATCACAGTAACTTTTCAGCATCAATCCCCAGGTTTGTGTGAGGGTGTTCCTCATTTCAAGCTTCATAAGTTGCTGAATAAAAAGGGAACACCGTGATCTCAGAACCTTTGAGCAATTTTTGTTTCATTTAAATAGGATTCACATCAGCACACATGTTCTCCTCCTTGCTATGAAGAGCAAAATGTGCCTAAAAATTATGCCAGAATAAGTAATATATATATTTATTGACTCCCCAAGAGAAAAAAAAAGCATGTTCAGAGAAAGGAAATTACATAATATCTTGTTCATAGACTCTCCATGAAAAATATTTAGCGAGTTGTCATTTTGGTACAATATTCTACAGTATATTGTGATGGAATGTTGTCTGGATTCCCAGGAGAAAGGAAATTCATTTCAGAAAAGCAAACAGCAAAGCTGAGATAGCTTGTGTGGAGGAAAAGGGTTTTAAGACATTTTTTCCCCCATTAGGTCTTAAAGTATATGTTTAACGGTGCAGGTAGTCTGTTTTAGTTTGGACAGATTAATGTCCATGGGTGATGTTCGTCCACCATGTTCAAAGAGGACCTCGACATCTAACAATACAATAGCAGAGTTGGAAGGGGCCTTGGAGGTCTTCTAGTCCAACCCTCTGCCTAGGCAGGAAACCCTATNGCTGCTCGTTATCATCTCCTGTGAGTCCTCAATTGTTCCTTACGTCTGTCAGCCCTTCTCCTGCGTGCATCCCGAAACAACTCACAGGAGGGTTCTTGGTCAGCCTCTCTTGTCTCCTCCCCACTGATCCAAGGCTCAGTCATTACCTGGGGACCAACTAGTCTCTCTGAGCCCTGCTCGGAGTCAGAACCCTGTCCAGGGCCCTCCACCTCCTCCAAAGGGCCCCTCGCTGTCAGATTCTGATAGCAGCTCCAAAGGCCGAGCCACAACACTCCCCTAACAGTCTGGGACCTCATTTTCAGACCTCAGAAGGATGGAAGACAGAGTCAACCCTGAATCGGTCAGGATCGAACTTCAGCCTTGGGCAGAGTCAACCTGCAATATTGCATTCTGACTACTGTGCCATCACAGCTTAACTTGAACAAAATGTTGTATAATTGTCAGTTTGAATGCTCCAAGTAATTTTGAGGATAATGAAGATTTATACTTAGGCATATTAAATATTAAAAATATTGGTAGCAAGCCTGCCACTATTAGAAGCATCAAATCCAATTCATGTTCCAAGGTACGCTTAAAATCAATTTTAATTGCCAAGTAATAAAGTGAAATTCACTTTTAATTGCAAAGACTATCCACGGAGAGGTGTAATTACTAACTTAACTATGTCATTGTGGCAGAAAAGATATAGATAATGTTAATGCAAACGGATAGCTTTTAATGAGAATATCAGCTTTTCAGCATGCTTTTCTCACGTACAACTAAATAAAAATATCTGCAAACATAAATCCGTATGAAATACCTAAAATCCAAGCCTGTTCTCTTCCCATTTTCAGGAATTCCTGGGTCAGGACACATATCTGAGGCAACAGCATCTCCTCCTTGGCTTACTGTAATAGAAAAAAAAGAATGAGCTATCACATTTGATAAGCTATATTTTAAATACAACTTTTTAGAAAGACAAACGGTGGGAAACGGTTGGTTTATTTTTTTTTCAGGCTGTAGTACATTTAAGAATGTGTTAAGATGATGTGGATTTGTGTGGGTTCACAGGAGAGAAATAGCAAGGTTATAGATGGGTTTAACACCCTCAAATGAGAAATCTTTACTGTGATTTCTGAGACAATATAGTGAATTTTAGCTGAAAGCTGAACCTTGGCACCTGAAACATTGTCAAAAATCAATTTCTATTGAAATGACAGCATTGCAGAAATTATATATGATGAGAGATGCTGTGTTTTTGCATACACATAGATGGGCACACATCGAGAACAAAGATCTTCTAAGTGACCAATTTCTGGAATCTAGTGCTATTTCCTCCAAAAACCGCTAAAACTGAAGTCATTATTACACATTTTAACATTCAAGTCTTTAGAATGTCTACCTTGGCAAGTCTAGTATTTTGGAAAGACATAGGATATAAACCTCTACTGCTCTATCTAGCAAATGATAGATCTAATATGCATTAAAAATTTTCTTTATATTTATACAGACTACTTTCTTTCTCTGTGGCAAGATCTGTGTTCAGCGCCAATAGGTAGAAATTATGACAGCATAAGAAACTGGAAGTAATCTCTGACACATTTTTTAGAAGATAGGTTTAACATTTAATTTAAATGAATCACCCAGTTAAACATGTGAGAAAATCACATTTCACAAGCGAAGTTTAGGAAGTACCTATTCACCTCCTTTTTATTTTACTGATAATTATGACCATAATTAGCATCAAGAATCAAACAATATACACAGCAAGCACTTAAAGCAATAGGTTTCACTCCGAAATTCTGAACAAACTGCATCCGCTACTCTGAAAAGCCAAAATGGGACATTTAAAATGTTGTGTTTTATATCTGCCGCCCCCATTCAGATTCCCCTGTGATTCAACCTTTTTATTTTGAAGTGCTTTTTCATTAGGATTTCTTTCCACCCCAGTGTCAGCTTAGAGCCAGAAAGTACTTATCCGCACCCTCCTCCTCAACCAAGGTCCTAACAATTATGGATTAACCAGAATAATTTTTAGCATACAAATGCCAAGTTTATTGCACAGCACTCTAAGTCAAAACTTATTATACCTTAATGCAAAGTGTGAACACCTAAGGGAGGAAATTGTTTGTCTCCCAACATAGAAAGTTGGGTTTTTTGTTCATACAGAGTAAAGAAAACTCAACACACTAAAACTCAGGCAATTGATTATCACTTTCCATAGCTGTAAATTTGGAAATTATTAGCAGTCCAATGCGCTTAGGTTTAGGGCCCTATAAATACCTCCACGCCTTCTAGAGGATGATGAGAAGGTGGATTTGGATATTCTGGCAAAGATATGGAACTTGTCCCATTTTAATATCAACATGGCTTATAACTATATATAAGTATACATAAGCCTTGAAAACCTGGACTGTGGCTCTGAGAAATGTCAAATATTGTAAACAAATTGTATTGCGACATAAATAGAAAAGCCTTACAATATCTGAATGTAAGGGTATCCTACTTATATTTTATTTAGCTCTGTGTGTGTGTGTGTGTGTTTGTGTGTGTGTGTGTATGTGTGTGTGTGTCTATCTAGATGGATGGATGGATGGATTGATGGATGAATAGATAGACAGATGAGAGAGGAAAGTGATAGATAGAGAGAGAGAGAGAGAGAGAGAGAGAGAGAGAGAGAGAGAGAGAGAGAGAGA